TGCTGATAACATCCACACTGTCAAATCCAACAGTCACTTTCAGGCCTCATCTGACCAGAGCTCCCTGCAACATCTGAGGTTGCTCCTTGGCCCCCACGCCTCACCCGACTCCAGGCCTTCTCTGGACACTCCCGGCCTTCTGGTCACTCCGGCTGCTCCTGCTGAGTCTCTCCTTCACCAGCTTTCCCTCCTCCTTCCCTCAGCCTCTATCTCTGGTGTCCTCGGGACTGGTCCTGGGCTCTTCTGACTCCGTACTCTCCCCTCTGCTCCCTTCCACGTGTGTCCTCCAGGCTTGTACACTAGCTGCCCCGATTCCTCTCTGGGCTTCTCCCCTCTCGCCTCCTTCCCACCCAGCAGCCAGAACGCCCTTGACAACACGTGCCTATTCACATCGCTCCCTAGCTGGAACTCTTTCAGAGGGTCCCCTCTGCTTATAGGCAGAATAGAATCCCTAAATATTCACCGAAGTAGAGTCTCCCCACCCCAGGTTGCCCACATCTGGTTGTAACATATTCTCATTCACTTGTCTAACGTCTTCATCTTCCAGATATTAGCTTCCTGTCGGAGCCCTCCTGGATCGCTCTCAAGGTAAATAATTTCGCTCTGCCCTCTCACAACACCCTGTACCTACCACAATCTGCAGTTACCTATTTATGTGTCTGTTGACAGTCTCCACAACCAGTTTGCCTTTTCCATGGAGGAGTGAGGAGTGACCAATACAAACCCGTGCCCAGCACATATCACCACAGAGTATGTGTAGAATGAACTCCCAAATGAAACTCCACTGTCTTCCTACTGCGCACAGAGCCACACTCTTGACTAGAACAGCCCCTGCTCCCTGGCCTTGCCCCATGCCTCCCTTACCATCCTGCGCCAATCCTTCCAATCAGTCCTTCCTGTCAGAGCACTCAGTTCTCTTCGCCTGAACCTCACACACTCACATGGATGTGTTCTTGTTCGTTGGATCTTGGTTTATGTTCTCCCCCATCCCACCTTCTTTCCCCTCCCCTCACCATTTAAAATCAGATAACACGTCTTTGTAAATTAACTGATGATCAGTTTTTCAGGTTTGTTGTATTTTAGAGAACACAAAGGAATCATCCCGATGAAGAGGCGGGTATATTACAAATGGAACAAGACTAAACCGAAAGTCAGGAGCCAGCACTGCAGTCCCAGCTTTGATGCAAAACAGCAGTGAGACTTTACGTGGGATATCATCTCTGCTCAACAAGTCATTTCCTCTCCCTGGTTCTCAGTTTCCCTTTTTTAGATGAGAGAGAGAGAGAGGAAGTAGCTTATCCCAATTTCCTTTCCAGTTCTAAGCCTCTAGAACTGTCCTCGCCCGGGAAAGGGAGATGCTGGCACTAAAGAATACAAATGAGATCCCCCCAAAGTGGGCAGGCATGTGGGATAACAACAGCTGCCATTCAGTATAAGAAAGAAGAAAAGGATCTGTAAAACTCCAGCACAACCACAGACTTCTGACTTATCTCTGAGGAGGGGATTTTAAAAAGCATGCAAACCAATAAAAAAACTTTGTACAGCCCTCCTCCTCACATAATAAAAATTCCAAAGTAAAATCTGTTTTACCTCTGCCTGCTAAAGATAATTTCCCTCTCATCTGCTACTGAGAATCAGCTGTCAGCCCAAATCTCTCCCTCTCGTCATCCTCTTCCCATGCATGCTGTTAACCTTCCAAGTAGCAGGAGTTTGGGTGGGCAGGAGAGCAGGAGACCAACCCACTACATCAAAGGCCAGATCGTCTCTGTCAGATGGGTCACTATTTCCGAAACACTGTAAGTCTCTACACTGACCCCTACCAAGATGAGCGCCCCCTACTGCTGAGATATATGAACATATTACATCTTTATCAGATTCAAAACACCTACATCTTTTTATCTTTGTGATATACTTATTTTCACTATGTCCTTTCTGTCAAAAGTAGTAATTTGTTATTCACAAACTCAAACTTAAAATAGGGGTGGAAGATGAAGTTTCAGTTTATGATCACATCCCCATTTTAACTCAGGCCTTACTCACCCTGCTGTCTGGGCATTTCCCATCCTGACTGCTGCAGCAAATGCTTAAAAAGAAAAGTGTGCAATTATCGCTCCACGAAAGGGGACACACGCCTTTAAAAACCAAGGTCAGGTAGCATATTTTATTCATCACCCTTGCTTCAAGGCCTCCTGGGAACATAGACAAAAATACAATGACAATATCCAAGGTACAAATAATTTAGCAAACTGCAAGCGGGGGAAAAGCCAACACAGAAAGCAATGGACATTGATCTTCTCAAAACTACAGTCCCTGATGTGCTGGTGTTTCCCCTCCACGTTCACAAACAAAACCAACCAGTGGGCCAGAATGAAAAGACTGGACCAAATGGCAAGATTTTGCACTTCCTTATCCTGCAGATCTTTTGGGACCAGTGTGTGTTCTGGGGGGAGGAGGAGAGTAAGGAGAGAGGTAGTATGAACAAAACTTGAAGCCAACCACTTAAACTGTTATTTAAACTATAGAGTTTTCAGAGTCTTCATGCTATTGCAAGGGCCTGCTCCACTTTCCTGACATAAGGAAGAATTTGCCGGGAGCCGGTCCATCCTTGCTGTTTCAAGGGACCTGGCGTATATGGCATACTCTTCTTAATATGTTTGCTCACCTTCTTGGCGCTGTGTTTTAACCAAGGTCACCTCTCCGAGAAAGGTTGTTTCCCCAGGTAGAGATTTTCCCCTGAAGTTAGGGAGGGAATAAAACCCCTTCACTAAGTGCCAGGCAGGTAGTTAATCTCTTTAACTACGAACAATCATGCTTAAGCTACATAATCTTTACTCCCTGGAATGGAGATAAGAACCTCCCTAACCTTTGGAATAGAGATTGATAGGATTAGAATCAACTGGTATAAATACAGATGCAACAAGACAACAGGACACAGAACTTAGAACACAGAACTTAGATGAGGATCCGAGAGACAGAACTTAGAGACAGAACTTGGAGGACAGAGCCTGCGCAGAGCCTGGAGACGGAGGAGCTTCGCTGGAAAGAACATGGCGGGGGATCCTGGACAAAACCTGGCTGCGGAGCTTGGTTGGAGAGCCTAGACAGAGCCTGGTGACCAAGCCTGGCTGGAGAGCCTGGGCCGAGGCTGGCTGG